GGAGCCGTCCTCTCCGAAATGCCCTGTTTGGGGCGAGGAAGGACACGCGCCCATTACGGGTGCGATAGATCCCCCAGCTCCCCCGAGGAGATGCCAGCTCTCGCTTCTTATCTCTTCCTCCTCTCTTTTCTCTATTGGTTTTATGCCCTAGGAAAAAGAATTCAATAAACGGTCTTAGAAATGCTCCGTGGTGTTCCCAGGCGTTTTTCGGAAAGGCTCGCGTAAGTGTGGCGGGGTTGGCTTCGCTTGCACATGAATATCCGAATATCCGCAGTCGAGCGGGGAGGGAAGGAAGCTGAAGCCTGCAGCATGGGAACCCCCGCCAGTGGAGGCGTTTTTTTTTCCCCTGCCGAGAAACAGCCGCCCGCACCTCAACGTCACATATAAGGCCAAGGGTCTTTCTTTGTGTCCTCTGGTTTCCTCCTGGGGTAGAAACGCTGCCACTTTGCTTCCTCAAGCCCTGTGCCCGCCCCCTGCACGGGAGAATTTTGGGCATTCCCGCAAAGGGGAAGGATGGTGCCCTTCTCCTTTGCCGAAAATGCCACTCAGTGAGATCTGCGGTAAACGCGCATCCAAGGGTGAGTTGCTGGAGGCGGGGACCGAAGCATCCCATCTATATAAACCGCGTCCCTCGGGCCGGGGGTCCCGGCGAGCTGCAGAGGTTTTCCCGGCCCTGGATGTGGTAAGCAGGGCTGGAGCAGTGCTTTTTCCTCCTTTACCTCTGGATAAGAGGATGAGCTCACATGGTGGGGGGGCAGAGGAGAGAGACCATCCGCTGCAGAAAAGCACTAGGCGAAATAACGGCAAACGCCGATTCGCTCTCCCCTCCCAGGGCTGTCGCGACGATGAACTCCCTCCTTGCGCTTGCTGTGCTCTTCGTGTGGGGTGAGTGTCCCTGGGAGCCCTGGTGCCACCCTGCAACGTCCATGGGGTTGCACCGGTGCCTCCCCAGGAAATCAGGAGCAAATTTCTAAACCTTCTCCTCTTCTTTTGGTTGCAACTACCCAAAAACACATAACAACTGCCTAGAAAACAGCTCCTTCTCTACGGAGTTGGGACTAAGTTTCCTTTCAGTTGCATCTACTCGTTTTTTAAGTGACCAGCTTGGTACAAATCCAGGAGGGATGCGGGGAAGCGGCCACAGGTCTGAGACACCCAAAAATCCCAAAGCCACCCAAAACGAGGAAACAGAGACAGCAGGCGCCGAATTCATGGCAGGTGCAGCAAGCCCCATCCGGCGGCGAGAGGATGGCGGCCCGGCTGGGCGCCGAGCTGGGCAGTGTTGTGGGGGCTCGGCAGCCTGCAACCTTCCTTCTTCTCCTCCTCGCCACTGCCCGGTGGCTTTTCTCCCCCGCAGGCATGGTGGCAGCGCACGGGAACATCTGGGACCTGCAGCGCATGATCACGAAGGCAACGGGGCGCGCCGCAGTGCTGCATTACTCTTTCTACGGGTGCCACTGCGGCTGGGGGGGCCGCGGGGGGCGCAAGGACCCG